CCCATGCGCAGAAGTTGGTATTTTGTGGAAGAGCTACATTAAAGGGGCCAAAGAGCCACATGTGGCTCGCGAGCTGCGGTTTGCAGAGCCGCAGTTTGCTGACCACTGGGCTAGGCTAAGCTATGATGTTTGTCAGGTTAGGTGTATTAAATGCATTTTTTACTTAGGATGAGTTTATCAGGACAAAACTCCATCATAAGTCAAGGAGCATTTGTACTTTCTAGGTGCTAGGTACCCGAGTTAGAAGATGGCATTGAAACTTTCTTCCTTTCTATTTCTCCTACCATTCCTTATCATCCTCCTTTTCTTCTGCTTGACCTTTAAATCATAGTGTTTTAAGTGGTTTTGTCGTAAGACTTCTACTCAGTAACTACATACTAGTAGTCCCTGGTGATACCATATCTCAAGACTTAAATTTCTGTTTGTTGGGTTGGACAATATGAAAGTTTGCCAATGACCATTTCATAAGTTCACCTAATACATGTTGATCTTTCCCAACCTCCTGCCAACCCACATCTCTCCCGATCTCCCGATCCATTTATCCAACTTTCTCAGTCTGTTTGCATTTGGATGTTCCACAAGTCCCTCAATCTCAGCTTATAAACCTTCCCCACCACTTGTGCCTCTCTGGGTTCCCTACTTCAGTAAATGGCACCATCCACCCAGTCACTCAAGGAACAGACCTATATGTATTCTTTTCCTTACCTCTCTCCTTCCATTTCTATCAGTTATGAAGGGTCTGTTGATTCTTAGTATCCTCTCAAATGTATTCACTTCTTCCTATTCACACTGCTTGTTCTCTAGGTCTAAGTTACTGTCACCTTTTTTCTAGTGCTTATACTGTAATCACTCCCTCTTAACTGCTCCTTGTCTCTTTGTCTCCTTCTACTCTTTCCTGAAATTAGAGCATTCTTTCTTACATCCAGATCTGATCATGTTATTTTCTTCAATCCCTAGTTGGCTTTATGATAAAGTTTTTTTCATTCCTTAACTCCTAGAGAGACCTGTGTAATCCATGCCTCACCTACCTCTTCATTCAATCATTTAAGAAATATTGATTGAACACCTTTTGTATGCCAAGCCCTGATTATACAGCAGTTACCAAAACTACGGCCTTGCTTTCATAGAACTATCATTCTTATTAGGTGAGACAGACAGTAACATTTCTGTATATATCAGATGTGGAAAAGTGGAAAAGATTAAGGAGGGAAGGTGGACGACTGACTTATCAACCTAATCCCTTGCAGTTAACCAGGGATAACTATCAGGCCTGAAACTATGGGACCTCAAAGGTCAGTGTGGATGTGCTGTAAAAACTGGATTTGGAAAAGGGAGAAGCAACAGAATTGGCAACAGGTTGATTGTGCATTTTGAGGAAATAAGGGCAGGTGCAGATTTCTGGCTTGGGATTAGGGGGATGGAGGTGCCATAGACATATAGGTAATGTTAAAAGAGTAGCATATTTGAGAGGAAATGTGAACTCAGGTTTAAACATGCTAATATGGGGTACCTATGGAGCTTCAGGTAGGTGTCCAGACACATACACTAGCAATGTGGATGTTGCTGATCCTTATTGAGAAATACCATGTAAAAAGATTTCTAAAGTACACTTGAAGTGGTACTAGTCCCACCTCCTGCATCCTTTGCAGACCTAGTTAAGTAAAGGGTTTCTTCTGCTGATCCAAGTCTCAGAATCCCTTAGTTTGTATTTCTGGTAGACCCTACCAAATCTGAATTGACACGAGTTAAAACCTTTTTGTCATCAACAATTGAGAGACATTATCACTTTTAGTTTATTGTAGATAGTCTGTTAGCCCCACAATTCATTACAACCATTATGGAACTAATTGAAGATTCAAAAATGTAAACCCATAGATAGGTTTTTGCAGTTAAATTCTTAGCACTACACTAGGTCTGGGAAAAGTCAGTAACTTAACTTGGAAATTTATAACTTCAGGACATACAAAAGCAAAAATTAAATTTAATTATATCATAGATTAGGCCTTCCAAAACTTAAATATTTAACTATTCAGCTTTTTTGCATATGAAGTGAACATGTGACTTGCGAGTTCTTAATTAGTTTACTAATGAAAGAAGTGAATTAACAAAGTTTGATTCCTCATGGACATAGAAAAGAGCCCAAATAACCCAAGTTACCTTGTTAAATTATACGAGTTGTTATTAAAACATTACACTCTCTTATCTCTTCATTGTACTGTCCTTCAAGTATTTTCTCTTCAGGTTCTTCCATTTTTTTTTTATTTTTTTTCCATTTTGAGGGTAGTGCTATTGATGGTAGCTTTCATGCTTTAGGTATATCTAAAAGAATTAATTATAAAGTTGAATTCCTACATATGCCTCAAAAGAAGTCTGAAGTGTTGATTCATGGCCACAAAGCATGTGTGGTTGCTGCGTTGGGTTATTTTTTTTCCTCGTGAAGTTCTTTATTCTTGGGAAACAAAAGAAGTGAAGGAGTTGAGGTTTAGTAGTTGAGATTACACAGACCAAAGGGGTACCACAGGCATTTCTACAACGTTAAATCTGTTAAGGAGAGAAGGGAACTAAATATTTGCTTAACATCTCAACTTACCAGTCACTGCTATGTAAAATGTATGCATTAACTGATACAATATCACTTTTATACTCATTTCCTTATTACAGAAACGATGAAAATACAGCATCTATTTTACAAGATCACTATCTTGATTCATCATGGAGAACTGAGAATGGTCTTATTGTAAGTATTTTATGAAAATATTAGGGACATTAAGCTATTATTACCCAAAGTACCTCTTTTTTTATTTGGTGCTAGTTCTCAGCACTCACAGAAGTAATAAATTTAAACTTTTTTTAAAAATATATTTTTATTGATGTCAGAGAGGAAGGGAGAGGGAGAGAGAGATAGAAACATCAATGATGAGAGAGAATCATTGATTGGCTGCCTCCTGCATGCCCCCTACTGGGGATCAAGCCCACAACCCAGGCATGTGCCCTTGACCAGAATGGAACCTGGGGCCCTTCAGCCCACAGGCCAACATTCTATCCACTGAGCCAAACCAGTTAGGCAGAACATTTTTCTTACTGTAAAAGGAGCAGAAACTTACTCTTATTTCTTTTGACTTTGAAAAATGGCCACAACTGGGAAACAACTGTTGGATCCAGCTGGATTTGAATACACAAGTCCTTGCTCTACCACTACCAGATTTGTGAACTCAATTTCATCTGAAAAATGGGGATCATTGCAGGTTTCATTTCCTCATTTAACAGTTACTTACTGAGTATATACTATGTGCCAGACACTAGACCAGATTTGGGGGTTCCAACTATAATTAAGATAGATATGGTTCTGCTCTCAAGGAGCTTATAGTCTAAAGAGTCAGGTACTAAACAAACAGACAGACTAATTATAAATCATTAAGGACATTAGATACAGACTAAGGGTGACTGGATGGGGAACCTACTTTAGATAAAGTTGTCAGTATGGGAAACTGAGGAGATGACTTTTAAGTTGAAATGTAATAAAAAGAGGGGAGTAGATATATGATGAGTTGAGGGAAAACATTAGGCAGAAAGAATAGTATCACAAAGGCTGGTTGGAAGCCAGTTCTAGAATATGGTAAGGGAAGGGGGATGATAGCTGTGACAAGGTTGGAAAGGCAGATGAGAGCTCTGTCATATTTGTAGGAATACTGAGACCAGTTAGGAAACATTTGAGTAATCTAAGCAGTATTTGGTGGTAGCTTGGCTGGAGGTTGTGGTAGAGTCAATAGAAGTAGACAGATTTAATTATACTTTGGAGGTTGAGCTCCTTGGTAGACTGGACATAGGATTGAAGGAAGAGGAAAGAATCCAGGGTGATTCTTGGTTTTCTGGCTGGAATAACTTGGTGACCAGTAGTGCCGTCTATAAAGTTGGGAAGGTCGGGGAAGAAGCAGATGAAGGAAGATATGTGATGGAGTTATGTTTTAAATGTTAAATTTAAGAAGCCTACTAGATACCCAAGTGGAAGTTTTGAGGGAGCAGTTGGAAATAACAGTCTAAATCTTGGAGAGAAGACCTGAGCTGAAATTTCTTAAGTTTTGAGAGTTGAAAATGAGTGTGATCATTCAAGGAGAGATTGTGGCTTGAGGGAAAAAAGAATTGTGAGTTTTGGAAATAGGTGAAGTATCTAGCAAAATTCTGATAACTAAAGTCCTTTATACATGACTTTATGATGCACGAAAGTCGTGCTGGAGTAGACTTTCCTTCCCCCCGGCTGCTGGCACCAGCATCCCTCTGGCACCTGGGACCCGGGCTTCCCTCCAGCTGCCTGCAGGCACCCGGGACCCAGGCTTCCCTCACAGCCCCGGCTGCATCCAGAAGGTCGTCCGGAAGGACATTCGGTCTAATTAGCATATTATGCTTTTATTATTATAGATAGCCATTATTACTGTATCACAGATAGGAGCTTGAACCTTGGGAGTCTAGCAGACTGGTGTGTCAAGTCTCTGCTCTTCCACTTGAAATGTTAACAGTGCTAGGGATGCCTCTGTAAAGTAATAATGCCTATTTCATAGAATTATTGTGGGAATCAAAGCTATGTCCATGTGCTCAGTAAATGACAGCTGTTATTGTTAATCATATCATTGTGTATTTTCATTTAACAAAATATGGAAGATAACTTCAAAAAGTAGTAAATAAAAAGAAAATATGTTCTTCTCTTTTATAATAGCCTTGGACTCTGGATAGCACCATCAGTGAAGAGAACAGAGCTGTCATTGAGAAAATGTTGTTGGAAGAAGAGTATCCTTTAATGATTATGAGGAAAGAAGATTTCAGGGTTAAATACCTCTAAATGCAAAAATTACAAAAGAGACCACTGTTAATTACTAGATAGATATATTTGGCCCCAGACTGCTACAATATAACATGTTACCTACCTATGCAAAAAGCTGCATTTTATTCTTTTGGTTCTGTTTTATTGCTAAGTCTGAGGTATGATTCAACATTTTTTAGTTTCTATTGTCAACCAACTCTTTATACTGTCTGAATATTGATTTGAAATTATAAAATGTTTTAAGTTAGCTAGAACCTGTAGTCCAAGACCGTTTAGTCCAATCCTCCATCTTCAGTTATATAAGCTGAAATCCAGAGATGTTGATTTGTCCAAGATTTCAGAATTAGAATATGTAAAAGTTCTCACTTCTTACTCTACCAATTTACAGGTGTTATGTGAGAGGAATCTAAGTAAAAAGCACAAAACAAAAACAAAAGGATAAAGATCCTCCTCCCCGCCCTTGAGAAGTTGTGGATCCTTATCCATGGTCAGGCACTGGCTTCTTGTCCTTGTTTCTTTAATCTGTGTGTGATGTTGGCAACTTAATTTCTTTGGGACTAAACTTTCTTATATGTAAAATGTGAGGATTGAACAAAATGATTTCTGATTTTATGATTTCTCAAGAGTATTAATAATAGTTTAATGAGTAGTGGTTTATGTAACATTTTCTAGTGGCCTCCTTTAAAGCAGGTGGAATTAATTTTAATAATTTATTTAACCCAGTATATTTAAAATGTTATTTCATCATTTAATATAAAAACATTGAGATCTTTCACATTTGTTTCATACTCTTTGAAATTCATGTGTATTTTATACTTACAATGCACCTCAGTTTGTGCCAGCCACATTTCAAGTATTTAGTAGTTACACATGTGGCTATTGGCCAATGTATTGAACAGTGCAATTCTAAATGAATAAATGAATACTTAGTTACTGGTTCACTTCCAGATGTGGAAACAGAAGTAATGAGAGTAAAAGCTATGTCAGCTCTTGGAAGACAGGGATAATATTTTCTTCCATCTTTGTCCTCAGTACCTAGTACCTAGTATAGTGCCTGACATCCACAATATACAGGCAATAATTGTCAGTGAAGAATATTTCTGATTAAGTTATTGTAAAGGCCAGTTTTAAGACGTTTGAGAGAGGCTTTCTGGTAGATTTGACCTACGTGTTTGTTAGTTTTATTAGGGTAGAGGACAATCCTGAGCTCTTCTCTGTTACCTTGAGAAATATGAAGACAGTTGGTTGTCCTAAATTACCCTGGACAACCAATCAAATTCATCCGTTACATTCTCCATATGGTGTAGGAAAAAAAGAATTAAATAAAACATTGAGGATGTTTCTTCTCTTAGCCACTTCTAAAAGGGAAGATAAGAGGAACTAGTATTTATATAACACATTTTATGCAGGTACCATTTTGTGAGATTTTACATGTAATATTTAATTCATATGACAACCCTGTGAGCTATAAATAATTTTATCAAAAATTGTACAGACCTGAAAAGGGCTTTGAAAGGAATTGGTTTAGCTAGGATTCAAGTGTGACTTTCATGAATATCTATATATATAAAAAGCCAGCAACCAGAACGCAGTAACGATGAACGACCCGTTGCTATGACGCCCACTGCAGCCAGCAAACCTGATGGATCAGGGGGGTGGGGCTGGCCGGCCAACCTCCCATGGCCTCTTCCCTTGGCCGGCCCTGCCCCTGATGGGCCCCCACTACCCCCATCGACCTGCAGCCCCTCCCCCAGCTGGCCCCATCCCTGATTGCCCCCTTACTCCAATAAGGGGCAGAGCCGGCTGGCCAACCTCCTGTGGCCCCTCCTCCCACCCGGCCCCACCCCAGATCAGCCCCTGATCAGGGGCAGGGCCAGCCAGCCACCCAGCCATGGCCCCTCCCCCAGGCCCATGGCCCCCTTGTGGGGGCGGGGCTGGCTGGCCCACCCCCCACAGCCCCTCCCCATGGCCGGCCCCATCCCCACTCAGCCGCCACCACTCCAGCCAGGGGCGGGGCCCACTCGCCAATGCTCACGGTCCCTCCCCCTAGCCGGCCCGACCCGGATTGGGCCCCGATTGGGGTGGGTCAGCTGGCCAACCTCCTGCCATCTCCTCCTCCCAACAGGCCTGGCCCCAATCTGCCCCGATTAGGGCTGGGCCAGCTGGACCTCACCCGTGCACAAATTCGTGCACTGGGCCTCTAGTCCTATAGTAATAAAAGACAAACATGCAAATTGACTGTACTTTTGCTATGCCTTAAGCCATGCCCACCAGCCAGAGTGACTATATGCAAAGTAACCCAACCAAGATGGCTGCCGCAGCCACGGAGCAGGAGCGAGCAGGAGGCTTGCTTGCTCCAGTAATGGAGGAAGCCAAGGTTCCCTACTTGCCGTGGCCCGGCTCTGAGCTCTACTGAAAGCAACAAAGTTTCAATTATAGAAGGTAAATAAATCCCAGAATAAAAAGAAAAAAAGGAGAGGCTGGGAGCTTACATCGCCAGGGTGCTTGGCCAGCCTGAAAACAGTCATTAGCCCCTCACTGCAAGAGGGCATAGGCTGGGCTGAGGGACCCCCCGAGTGCACAAATTTTTGTGCACCAGGCCTCTAGTATAATATAAATGCCTACTTAATATGAGCCATGTGAAAGTTATGACTTCATTGTTAAAGTTTCCTTAATAACTACACAGGTATTATTTATCTAAAAAATCACTTCCAGAAAAATTCTGGCTTGGTCAGAAGGAAGGTGATAAAAAATACATGAAGAGGTAAAAATTAATTTATCATACTTTTAAAAATATGAACAGTACTTTTAGAAACTTCACGCGCTTCCTTATTTTCTTTTTTCATGTGGTGGTGCAGTCTGCAGAAAACAGCAAAAATCATGTATGTACTTATGTTTAAAATTTTAAAACCTTTTTTATTAGTTAAAAGTTATAAGAAAATTAAATAAAAATTATAGTTGGCTTGTGGAAAAGCTTTCTTGATCTTGAGTTATTCAAAAATATAAAATCAAAATTTCTTGTATACATTGGAATGCCAAAAGGTAATTTTATGCTGCTATTTTCCAGAATTTCTCTTGTGGTGCCATCAGATTATGGAAAAGATGGTTTCTTAGGAATTTGTGGGGAAACTTTTAAAATCTGCTATTTAATGTTAGGAATTGACATGATTTCTATTACCCTGTCAATTAATTTTCAATCACTTCAAACAAAAATTTAATTTGAATTTTTAGCTTTCAAAAACTTAAAGAAACTAATAACTATTTTATTTAGTGTTTATAAACTTGCATGTTTATGGTACCTTAAAGGTAAGGCTTACAGATATGCAATTGCCAAGAGTTTGAGCACCAAACAGACTTTGGCTTTTGCATTTTGCTAAATAAACAATAAAAAAATGAAGTTAATGAAAAGATTAATGGTGTGCTTGAATTAAATTAGTGAGCCTCATCACTCTCTTAATTTCTTAAGAGACTGCAGTTTCAAAAGCAATAAACATAATGCCATAGTTTGTTTTTTTTATTTTCTGGCTTGATATTTACATGGTACGTGGAAGAATCAAAGAGAATATTTCTGGAGTCAGTTTAAACTTTTACATGCCTTTCAGGATTTGGATGTTTTAATGTCTGCTGTTTTATGTCCAGCATAAAGAACCCTATTTGTTTTCACACTGACTTCCTTTAATGTCTTTTAATGTTATCTTCACTCAGACTCAAGGATTATGTCTTTTAGGGCTCCTATCATCCTGAGCTAGAGAAGTATATGAGACAGGGTAAATCTGTCCCCTCATGTAAAGGCTACAGCCTTTTTCTTCTTCTTTTCCTTTTTTTAAGTTCTTAGACTCAGAATATTGAATTTAGTTTATGGCTTTCTATAATCTTTAGCTGCATAAATATGGAATGTTCCATTTCAGAATTTTTTTTTGCAATTCCTTTTTTTCCCCCCTTAGGGTACAATCTCCTACAAAACCAGCCAGTTTCTCAGTAAAGTGGACGATAGAAGAAAAAGAGCTGTTTGAACAAGGGCTGGTAAATAGAGCAATTTTTGACTTATAGTAAAATAATTCTAGAAGCAAATATTGATAGAATTATAAGGTTAAATTAATTTGTAGAGACCAGAAATTTCTTTTTAATTACAATGATCATATCTATAGTTTTTCTATAGGTAGAGTTATGATGTATGTAGTATAGTACAAGAGAATTTAACTCACTTAAGTTAATAAAGTATTAAAATAGATTTGGATTAATTTTTGGATAGTTTTTATCCTATTTTTATACTAGTAAAACCCCCAAATTGAGCTATTTCTTTAAACTATCTAGTTTAAAAGGCAAAATTATTTCATTATCTGTGTATATAGAACTGTCTGTTTTGGGTTAATTTTTATTCAGATATTTGGCATTGTGCATATAATCTAAATATTTCAGCAGCTGTAATTGAAGACAAAACATGTTTCTTTTTGCGTGAAAGTTTCACTGAGAACTATATAAATGTCTACAAGTTATATAACGGAAAAATATGCATGCCAATTTCTAATTCTGAAAATACATCTTAATATGAAGACACTTTTAATAAAATATTCAGAAAAGTTTTTTAACTATGGGGAATAGGTTATATCATTTCCTTTGAAGGAACATGTTACCCAATATTATACTAAATTAATTTTGAAATTATATATTTACATTACATATATAGGATGTTTATATAATTATGTAGGATTCAGGAATGCTAATTGAAATATTATTGAAAATGTTTCTACAGATGGCGAGAAATAAAATGTGCTTGTAGTTTTATAGTTAGTCATTACTATGACGTTCATATATTCTGTGACGTTTTTATATGAATACCTAAACTATCCTTAAGCATTTTATCTCTTTGAGATTTTTATCCTGTGCTGTTATATTTTATATTTGTGTATTTTAGTCTGTTGCATGATTATCATTTACATAATCTAACTCTAACTAGCCATTTATTTAAATTGTCCCTTACTGAAGACTCTACACACACACACACACACACACACACACACACACACACACCACTGCAAGTGGGTTGTGAATTTTAGGTTATTATTGTTGACATTGGTAGTAGTTATAGGAGCTACATCTGCATGATTCAAAATTCAAAAGGTGCCTAAAGTTTATAGGGTGTTAAGTGTAACTCCTGTCTCAGCCTTCAGTTTTCTATGCCTGAGATAATCATTTTAATCTGTTCTTTTGTGGATTCTTCCAGAGATATTTATCCTGGTATAAGAAAATGTGTATTTATTTATATACATTTGTAGATATCTATTTATATACATAAACAGATATTTTAAATTTAGAATGGTTTCCCACAAAAATAAATGGAACTATTGGTTGTATTTTAACCTTTTGATGTAGTTTGCTTATAGACTGAATTTTCTCAGGTTTGAGAGAAGGGAATTATGCGGTACTGAATGATGAAGGAAGATTTTTCCTTTTCGTGGGCATAGGGCTCTCCCTTTGCTCTATTTTAAAATTAATGAATGTTTTCTTTGCTCCTGTTGTTAGCATCCCCTCTGTGAGTTTCATAGTGCCCAAGCCCTTAGAGTCCCTACTGGTCACACTTAACAAGATCTTTCCTATCTCCAAAGTGCTCCATGCTGCCAGGTTACTTGCTTGACTTTATCCCACAATAAAGATAATGAATTCTGCAGTAAGTTGATCTCTGCTAGGTGTTAGTTAAAAGCAATAGAGATAATTAATTTATACTCACTAGTAATTTACCCTGAAATATTTTCAGTTTTAAGAAATTACCCACATATCAGATTTTTCTCATGAGTACCACAAATAATTGTATAAATTAAGGTTTATCATTTGGGTCGGATCTTTGAAGATGACTTGCTACCATAAGTCATGACTGCCTGGCCTGAAGTCTGCCCCGAGGTCAACTCCCCTGAGTTGTGGCTGGGTTTTTTTGTTGGTGGTGGTTTGTTTTTCATAGCTTTAAGAATTCTGAAAAATTAGAATTGTTGAGCTACTTTGGGAAGTAGAGAGTATCTTGTGTTAGAGATATTATAAAGGAGGTTTATGTATATATCAAATGATAGATTTGATACCTAAAAATCCCATTTAGCTTTAAAATTATATTTCTTCCTTTCTGTACTTCAGAACACACCGGAACTCCCTTGAGTTCTTAGTTTTTCTCACCACAGCTTAGTGTTAGTGGACAACCTTCAACAGTAGATGGGTGTAGGGAGGCGTTGGTTGCAGCTCTCTTCATTTGTGATTCTTAGTAAGTCAGTTCACCGTGATGTCTGCGTAGATTATAATGGATATTGTAACAGGTGGAATCTGGGCAAGAGGGTATTTTTAAATTAGTGTCAGAACATATTCAGTTGATTGTATAAATGGATGCAACCTGCCTCCGTTTCAGATACTTTTTTTTAAAATTATCTTAAGATTTGGAACATCATAATGTGCAATATGAATACATACAGTTAGGAATACATAAAAGTAATGTATCTTTATTTAAATAGCTATGAGAAGAAAACTAATTTCTAAACCATTTTGGTCAGTTGTCATTAAGCCTGGATTCTATAGGGTAAGTCATGGAAAATTTCAACAAAAGAGTACGTATGTGCCAGCAAAGCCATGGAGGCCATTTACCTCATATGCTATTCCTTACATAACCCTATACTGTATACTTTATGAATCAATAAAAAATTTACAATTTTTAATTATAAACCTGTGTTTTCTATCAAAATTACTTCTGTGTGAATTTTGGGACACCCTATAAAAGAAGAATGTGGGCCTTGATTTTAAGTCTTAGCTATATATGAGGCTTCATTGTGTGCTTTAGAAAGTAAATAAAGATGGGTTTTTCTTTTAGCTTGCTTTTTTAGTGTGGCAATTGCTTAGAATATTAACAAGTCAGTTCAACAGAAGCAATTTCTTTTTCATTTTGATAATATAGGCTAAATTTGGCCGAAGGTGGACCAAAATTGCAAAGCTAATTGGAAGTCGAACTATTTTACAAGTGAAGAGCTATGCCAGACAGTACTTTAAAAATAAGGTAAGCAGAATATAACTATCCTAATTGATAATAATATTTTAAATAAAATTAGTAAGAAAAAGTAGTTTTTAATTCAGGTATTAAAGTCTTAATGTTCAAAGGTTTTTAGTAGAAATATTTATACCCATAAAGTACTCTACAGATATTTATCTTCAGAATCTCAAAGCATATCTTCAGTGTTATGATTGTTCCTATTGAATAGGTATTATATTATTCTACTTAATTTCATACAGTTAAATAGAAGAATAAAATATTAATTGCTCATTTAAAATGTAATAAACACTTTAAAGAAAAGAACCATAAAGGTACAATACACCAGTGATGTACTCGGTTTAATAATATTATATTTATTCTGCTTTTTGTGCCAGTTATTAAGTTTTCAACTTGTAATATTATTGGGGTTTTGTCTTGATTTTTAATAAGGTAAAATTAGATGATCCAGAGAAGGAAACACCAAATCAGAAGAACAACAGTGATTTTCAGATTAAAAGTGAAGATGAAAGCTCAAAGTCATGGACCCCATCAAGTTTAAGGGGACGTGCTGATCCCAACTTGAATGCTGTAAAAATTGAGAAGTTATCTGACGATGAAGAAGTAGACATCACAGATGAGGCAGATGAGTTGACTTCTCAGGCACCTCAGGAGAATCCTAGTAGTGATATTTTATTAGACACCTCTAATAGTAAAAATAATGAAACCTACCAAGGAGAATGTATTACCTCTGACAGCAAGGAAGATCCCATTTCTAAATCTTCCAAGGAATATCTTCAGAATTCAAAGCACATTGAGATGGAAACACTTTCAAGCTCAGGAATTAAATTTTGGACTGAAAAACAGAGCACCACTGATAAAAAATCAGTTGAATTAAATGATCAGAAATGTAATAAACTGATGAAAAACAGTGATAAGCACAATGGAAATGGAATAGTAGATGATACCAGGTTGTTGCCTTCTCTGGAACCTTGTGAAGTTCAGAAAGATTTGAGTGATCATGAAATGCTTTTTCATTCTTGCCAAATGGAGGAGGAGCACCATGTGGAAGAAGAGCTTAAGCCACCGGAGCAAGAAGTAGAAATAGATAGAAATATTATTCAAGAAGAAGAAAAACAAGCAATTCCTGAGTTTTTTGAGGGACGCCAAGCTAAAACACCAGAACGCTATTTGAAAATTAGGAATTACATTTTGGATCAGTGGTAAGGAAGAATTATATTATAGATACTGTTTTAAAATTTATGATATTCTATAGTATTTTAATTAGACTTATGCAGAAGTTAGTATTTTATAATGCTAATGATCCAGCATTATAATGTATTTCAATAGGTATGACTTAAAATTTCTCATAGTGAACTTTTTGGGGAAAGCTTTGGTAAACATTGTTATCTATAGCTATCTTAATCCATCTCTGTTCATTAGAGTGTTTGGGCCTGGAAAAAGGGGTAGATGATTGCCTTAAGAAGTACTTTCTTAGGGCATTGTTAGGAAGATATAGAAAGCCCTATTGTTCTGGAAAGGGGCTAGCATAACATCTTTCCCAGTTTTTCCTCTACTTTGAAATACAAAGAAAGAAAACTTCCATGACAGGATAATGTCGTTCTAAATAGCTGCCTTAAGTGCTTTCAACTTTGAACCTCTGGCAAATTGTTCATTCCTTCATCTAGGTTCATCAGGAAACAGGATTTTTGATATATGCAGTTTACCCTCTAAAGTATCAGTACCTTTTACTTAAATTATTTAGTGGGGATTGGGGAACAAACCAAAAAACTTCCCACCTTATTAGCCTAAATGCTCTGAAAGTAATTTGAATTTTTCATAATAGCTTAAGATATCATTAAACATTCATAATTGTTACTGCTTCAGGATTGTGTAGGGCCATCTTTATAGAGGGCTTCTGCTACAATCTAGGAAGATTACCAAAGGAAAACAAGGCTATTAAATCAGTAACCATTTTGCTGTACAATATTGAGTGATTTGGCTTTTAAGAAAGATTTTCTTCTTGCAGGCAGTTTAAGATTGCTAAAAATATAAGTTTGGGTAAGGGTGGAATCAAAGTAAAGAGTACATATAAACAACAACTGATATTGGCATAGTTCTTTACAGTTTACAGAAAGCTTTTCTGTGTCATCTGATTCCTTACAACAATCCTATAAAATATGCAGCTGATATTTTCTCTACTAGTATTTGATAAAACAATCCTGAGGTCAGGAGAGGTTTACAACCAGTCACTGACAGACTTCAGTGCAAGTCTTGACACTATAAATTACTCTTTCCATTATTCCATATTGCCTAATTCACACTATTAAAAAAGATAAGTTGATACCTAATTTTGATTTTGGAAATAAGAGGATGAATGGCCAAACTTTGGAAATAAGAGGATGAATGACTTTAAAATAACTCAAAAATGTCTATATGAGTCAACAGTGAGTATTTACTGTTACTTTAATCAAATTTCATTTGTTACTTTGAAGTTTGGATTCTATGAGGCAGAATAAGTTATAGAGACAGTATAAATTATATAGCAGTAGTTTCCTAATGTCATTTGCCTTAGTTTATGAAGCTAGTGAAAGTGTTGCTGTTTCAGTAGGTAAGAAAGCAAAAAGAAAGGTTTTGAATAGGAACTCAGATGTTCTCTTCAAAAATAGGAGAGTGGTAAGGGACTGGATGTGGTATTTAAAAAAAAAAATAGAAGAGAAAATTAATGTTTTAAAAATAAAAAGAGGTCTGCTTGACTTGTTTGTAGCTAAAAGATCCTTTTCATAAAAGCACATGCAGCCCTGACCGGTTTGGCTCAGTGGATAGAGTGTCAGCCTGCGGACTGAAGAGTCCCGGGTTCGATTCCAGTCAAGGGCATGTGCCTTGGTTGCAGGCACATCACCAGTGGGGGTGTGCAGGAGGCAGCTGATTGATGTTTCTCTCTCATCGATGTTTCTAACTCTCTACCCCTCTCCCTTCCTCTCTGTAAAAAATCAATAAAATATATTTTTAAAAAAATGAAAGCACATGTAGTCAACTCCCTGCTTAGGGGAATTTAATAAAAATAGTAACCAATACCATTTTTGAGCGCCTACCAATGCCATGCTTGTATTTAAATCATCTCCAGTCCTCTTGACAACCTGTTCTCATTTTACAGATGAGAACAGTGAGTTTCAGAGAATAAAAGGAAGTTGTTGCAGGTTACTATAAGTGAAGATAATATCCAGGATCTGTAGTCTTGACTTATTATTTTCACACTTCCAACTCAGGGCCTTTACCTAGACTTTTCATTCTGCCTTGGATGTTTTCCCCTCCACATCTTGCTGATCTTGCTTCCCTATCTCATTTAGGTCTGCCCAGGGGAAATTAAAGGCCTTCTCTAACCACCCTATCTAAAATAGCTCACATACATATCTCCTTCCTCTCATTCTTACCCTGTTTTTAATTTATCTTCATAGAATTTATTACCACTGAAAAATTATATTTTTATTTATTGTCTCTCCCCTCTCCCCTCTTACCCCCCTCCCAGTGATAATGTAGGCTCCACACAAGGACAGATTTTTTTTTTTTAAATCTATTTGTTCATTGTTAAATCCCTAATGTTTAGAACAATGCTTGGAATACAGAAGTCTCTTTATTTGTTAGGAAGAAAAGATTGAATGAATGAATCATCATTATATCATGAGCAGATATTTTGAGAGGCTTTATTATTTGTTCAGCACCATACTAGATTACTAAGTTCTGATTAAAGCTTGTGATTTGGATAATTATTAATGACATTAATTCAGTTTTTAGACTCCAGTTTTTTGGTAGCCAGTTATACCATGCTCATTTCTGCTTTCTTGCCTTCTTTTGTGCCGTTTTCTTTTAAAACATTCAAAATCTCAACTTTTCAATGGAACTTTAAAACCCACATCTCAAACTACTTTTTACCATTCCTGAAATTTTACAGGATTTATGATTTCAAATATGGTTTTTGCTTAGAGAGGCCTTCCCCAAATACCCTATCTAAAATAGTCTATGCCTATTTGTCTCACTGTATCCTTTTTTCTTCCTAGCACTCATTGCCACCTGAAAGTACAATAGATATTATTCATTAATTTATTTGACTGTCTCCCCATTAAAGTAGTTCATGAAACTAGTTAAAGTGTTGTCAGGAAGTGTTAAAGTAAGGTCAGGAAATTGATATTATTCATCTCTGTATCCTTAGTGCCCAGAACAATGCCTGATTCAGAGGATACAAAATAAAATAAATATTTGTAGGATAAAATAAAGATTGAATAAGAAATACCTATGTTATATGATTTATCTGAATACTTGGTTTGTAATGTCTGTTTGCATCCTGTCACTTAAAGTGAGTTCTTTAATTTCTCTGGCCTTTTTGTTTCTCATCTCTAAAATGAGAATAAAAAAAATCTGTATCTTATAGCGTTGTTGGCGAGGATTAAGGTACAACATCTGGCATAAGGACTTAGTAAATATTTACTGCTAGTATTAAGTTTTCTATTACTCTTACACTTTATATTGTACCATCTAGCATGGTACATTAAATATATAGAGTAAGTATATGTTTTATTATATAAACCTTTCATTTCTTTCATAATCTTTGGGCATTTCTTGATTCTTTTGGGATCCCCTATAATTTCTGTTTTCCACTGAGAGTAATCACTTCATAAGTATTGGCATAATGATTAAAAACATATAAAATTAAGTGCCCTTTTTAGTCAAGAATTCAGACTTAAATTTGGATCTATAGATAAATGAGCTTCTAACTTAAAAGTCCTAGGATAACTGGCATCTATTGATTTTAATATTGGAAAAGAAGTAATACTTATAAAAAATCACACTATTAAGTTATTGTGTCATTTATTTTATCTCAGAAAAAAGTACACTTGGGTATAATGTATTAGTATTGTATTTACTACACATTTACATATTGAGAGGGGGTAAATTTTTAAGATATTTCAAATATTAAAAGTTTTTCCCAGAAATCTTTTTTCATGTTTTTATTTACCCCAAATAATTGTACTTCCATCTCTTAATTAGGGAGATATGCAAACCGAAATACTTAAATAAGACCTCAGTACGTCCTGGCCTGAAGAACTGTGGGGATGTTAATTGTATTGGACGGATTCATACATACCTCGAATTGATAGGAGCAATCAATTTTGGATGTGGTAAACATAAAAACCCAACAACATCTTTTACTTGACATTTTTATCTTACGGCACCCATTAATTTCTTTGATGGATAGAATTCAGGTGGATTTAGAGAGATTCTATAACATTTTGGAATAAATGTATTGGGATTTTAATAAACAGATTTCTGTTGATTAAACTGTATTTCCCTTTGACCTACAGTGAAAATTGGTGGTATAATTTTTAAAGGAAATATATGCAGTCTAAGTAGTAGAAATAATTTAAAAATGCAGTTCTTTGTCAAGTAAAAGTAAAATTATTTTATGAAAAGTCTAATAATAGACTATTTAATTTGCAAATATTGTGTTCATGCCAGAAATACTGTCTAGCAGTATTTAAATAAGAGAAAGAATTTATGAGCCTATACACTTAAGTGTAATAAAAGTGCCAAAATATTTTTCATGGAAGGAAGTTTTTCCATCCTACTTTTTCTCAAATATAAGAGTTAATGAATATGTATATTTTTAAATGTGTTCTACCCCTTTATGAACATGACATAAACTTTTTGAAGAAACGTAATACCATAGTTGCAAAGTGATAAAGTAATAAGAACCTTGCAACCCATGGTTTGAGAAGAGTGTTCTGTAGTCTGTCTTTGGAAAGATAACTAACCAGAAAACATCCCATCAGATGGTTTTGTTTTATATAGAGGTAGATAGAATTTACAGTTTGCCCTGAGATCTTTGTTTTAGTGTCTTTGTTTGCCCAACGCACTATTAGGACTGGCTTTTCAGGAAAACTAAGGTGTTCTAGTTTCCTCGGCCACTAAAAGAAAAATGAAATCATGTTTTCTGTATTAGACTTCCTAAGTTAGCAAAGTGGACTTAATAAAAAAAGTTAAACAAATTACTCATTTCCTAAGTATCACATTTTATTGAGATTTCCTTATAATAAACTATAGTATTACTTTTATGTGAGAACTAAATGGCACAGAAAATATGATTGCGGAGTAGGATAGAAACATTGAAGCTCTGGCATAAAGAAATTTGGAAATTGGCTTACAATATATAGTCAGTGTAGATGTGTCCTCCTTTTTAACAAATGAAAAAATAGATTGTTTTGTTTTCCCTAAATTCTAATAGAACAGGCTGTATATAACAGGCCACAACCAGTTGATAAAGTACGAATCAGAGACAGAAAAGATACAGTAGAAGCATACCAACTTGCCCAGCGTCTGCAATCCATGGTAAGCAGTCACCTCGCTCACTAAATGATCTCTCCAAATCACTCTTTACCCTGTTAAGTAAGGTATGTCTACTCTTCAACTGCTTGACAAGTGGCCATTTAGTGGAAGAACATGTTTTCTCTTGTATTTTCCCTTGCCATTCACTTTACTCTTTCCATTCAATTTCACATAGTTTATAAGACAAAAAAACACACACACAAAAATCCTCAAATTTCACTGGCAACGTTAAGTGTAATGTTTTGCTAAAGTGGCCTTAGACTGCTTGCTTTGATTCCTAAATCTAACATTTTATTTACACTGTACGGTGAAGCGCTTTTTTTCTCTTTAATTTATTTTTTGTTTGTTTAAAATTCTTACTCTAAGATTCAGGGATGTGACTTTGGGACCCACGCTAGAGTCCACTTTCTTTGTTATCACTATGAGGGCCCTGTGTGGTACTCTACTCCTTAAGTCA